ATCCATCCACTGTTATAGAGGCGCTCAAAGTAGATTTCTCAGAACGTGCCAGTGCTTGTTTAGGCTTAACTTCAAATATCATTACTGACTCTTATCTGCTCATTCGGCTCTTAAACTGCTGTTTATTTGTTTTTCTAACAATTTCATTAAAGTGTTCACATAATAAAACTGGAACTGCTGCAGCACTTTTTCTTCTTCATTACTATTATTTTTTATTACTATCATTATCGTTTTTCAACATCGTGATGACTGCGCTCCAATAACGACCTACCAGAATCAGAGTCGTTTATTTTGTACGATTTCCATTGCTTGTTATGCGCGAGTGGTTACTAAACTCTGATTGATACTTTTTATTTTGGAGTATTTCGTTTCACTACCATCCGAGCTAAACGGTAGCTTTCAGCTGATGTCGTGTTATGAATGCTAATTTTGGCGTCATTTTTTGCCTTCCTTTTCGCATTCAGCAATCCTTACATGGTTTATAAAGGTGAGGCTCTAAAAGACAGTAGAGATCCACTGCCACCAAATATCATATCTGTTAAAAATCTCAACAAACTTGCGATGAACACTCATTGAAACGTTAGGTTGTTCAGAAATAAATGAGCGTTTTTAACTATTTTATTTAAAACGTCATAATTTGCTCCAAACAAATTGTTATTATTAATGTCATGTTGTTATTATGTTGTTAATAGAATATATTATAATATATATTATATACTTACTTACTTGATACTTGAACGGTGCGTCCTCACTAGTTGTGCGGGCCCCAGCATAATCACCATTTTTCGGAGATTTGCTGGTTAAGCCATTGGGGTTCCCCGAAATCCCGCGGACAGCCTGGCCAAACACTGCCCCAGATCGTCACCACGTGGATCAGAGGGTGATTTCTCACCATGCGACTGGCTTGATATCAGGATGGTGGTGGATCCTGGTATTGGTTTACTCTTAGCTAGGCTTCCTGATGGGAACACTGGACTCCTTCTCAGGTAGGGAGACCCTGTCGGGGAGACAAACCCCCCGCTGTACAGTGCAGTCCGACACCCAGGAACACCTCCCAGCCACGATGATTAATTATATTATTAATATAATATACTATAATATATTGTAGTATATACTATTGATATTAATATTAGTATTATATATTAATTAATCAAAACAGGAACCATTTGAATTCAAGCATTTTTGCCAACGAAAAACTAATTTCTTTATTCCAGTTGCATAAAATTATGAACTTCTGGAAGCGATGAATTCGTTGATGGCATTTTTCGAGTCATCGCGGTTGGTGAAGCATTTCTTGCACAGGAAGTATAGTCCGCAGGCGAGAGGTCTCATGAATTTAGCAGATGAGGAAAAGTTTCGTAGCCCAACTCGTTCAACTTCTGCAGCGCTTGTACCGCAAAGTGAGGTAGGGCGTTGTCATGGAGACAGATTGCTCCTATTCTGTTCCTTAATGCCGGTGGCTGTTTTTGGAATTTATGGTGAGTTTCGTCGATTTACTGACAATACTTCTCTGGCATAGGCGCTACGCCCGGATTCAAAAAGCTATAATGAATCAGCCCAGTTGAAGACCACCAAACAGCCACCGTAACATTTTTTAATGCAAGTTCGGCTTTGGAAAGAGCTGTGGAGCCTGACTGCAACCCAACCATTGAGCTGAACGTCCGCCGGTTGTCTTACGGAATCCATTTCTCGTCGCCCATCGCAATTCGACCAAGGAAAAGGTTTGTTTTTGTTGCACAAAATAAAAGGGGACGAAACCTCAAAACTAAGATTTTGTTTATTACCGTGTAATTCGTGTGGCACACACTTGTCGTGTTTTTTTGTGTTTCCTATACGATTCAAGTGCGTGGAAATTGTTCCTGTGCTTACACCAAGCTATTCTGGAAGCTCTCGAACAGTTGTTCTCATGTTTACTTCCACTAGTGCCTTCAATTCGTCGTCGCCAAGTTAATTGGGACGTCCACGACCTTCCTTAACTTCGAGGTCGAAATCACCAGATTGGAATTTCTGGAACTGTGTTTGCACGATTGATTCACCAAAACTATCTTCACACCAAACTTTACTGATGTTTCGAGCCGTCTGTGCTGCACTAGGACCGAGTCTGAGCTCATAAAAGAAGTTTGACGAAAAATCGTTTTGATGTTTAAAATTACAGAGCTAAAAGATGGTCTAAAAATTTTAGCCTTCCGTAAAATGCAAAGATTACAAACATTGTTAGAAAAAACATAATATGGGCCTTTCAATGATTATTACAAGGTGCAAAGAAATTTTTAATGGCAAAAAAATACATTAAAACAACAGATATTTTAAAATGCTCATTTATTTCTGAACAAACTAATACAGTAAACATAAGTGTAGTGTGGAATACTTCGCCGCGGCGTCTCCATCCAATCACCTACTGAAATCTGACTATATCTTTATTAAAAATAGACCTGAAGACATCAGCACCGAATCGAACCACCACAGTGATTTTTTGTGAAATCTAGTGATTGGCGAATATGAGTGGTGTTTGTCGCAAAGGATGACGCAAAAGTTACAAATTCGTCTCCTGGAAACCGTCAGCTCCTACTTATTTTGCAATAATAACGTTGCAAAATTGCCACCAGCCGTACGCATATCGGGTACGACTTCTGTTCTACCACTTTTGTATAATTCACCTTGTTTAATTTTATACGTTTACATTACAAAGAAGATTTGCAAAGCAACCTACCTACCTATTTAAGAAAAAATCTATCCGTTCCACTGAAACATATGCGATAGAGATCACAAAGGTTTTCTTTGGTAACGTTGTACGACCTAATTTAACACAAAAATCGATCTTCCTTAAAACTGTAGTAATATCACATCGTTGGATAATAATGCAGTGCTTCCGGAATACATTAGTTTTTGTACAGATGTATCCATAGAAATGATTTTGTATTGTATCCCTGACATAGAGCGCGTGTGGCTCCCATGGCCCACCATGTCTTCCATGCTTCCGGGGTCGGCAAATTGGTGCCAGATTTGTCTGGTAGGTACTGGCTCGATACATCGGTTGGCCACTGCGAGTCCTTGTGAAGGTTAGATATGCATTCAATCACCTCCAACGATACTTCATGAAGTCGAATGCACGCCGCATCTCTCAGGGATTGATCAACGCCGAGAGCTTTTAGAGAGTTTTACCCCTGACATCCTTCTACCTTGTTATTAACCACAATGGTATTGAGATATTTGCAAAACTCCGGACCGCAGGTGTCAGAGGTGGAGAACGAACGTGCTATTACTCTTTCCGGAGTCTAACGCATTTCCACCACACTATGCGGGTCCTTCGTCTTTATTATTATTATACAACGGCCATCTAGTCCCAATGATTGTGCCGACGACATGTAGGTTCTCCAACGTACTCTTTTCCAGACTGTATACGTGACTTACTGCATATCCAATTATGAAGCAGAGATAAATTCTAAGATATTAAAAAATCTTCGGATTGCGCGGGTGTGATACAATAATTCGTTATCGCTTTGGCCCAAGAAGAACTAACGTGATATCGAATTAGAATGCTATCGCCCGATTTTCTTGTTGAGTGTAATCTACAAGCTCTTAATGGAGATAATCCCGTCTTGCATATCAAGGGCCTTCGATGAGACACAACTAGTTGAATAGGAAGGATTCCAGCAGAGATTCTGCTCCGTGGGTAACATTCGAACTGTGCATTCCGTACCATAGAAATCTGTAGGGAATATCACCTTCACTTCGTCCTAACCCCCTCGGGTGTGAAGGAGCATTTGAATGCATCAAAACGAATGCCATACTTTTTGCCGTCGTAGGTCAAGGGATAGACTTCCTATATAAGAATCCTAGCTTTCATGGTAACCAATGTGCAAAAATACAGTTTTCGAACGTATAGCATTCCCAAAGCAAGAGGATTTCTACGAGGCGACGCTATATCTCCAAAGCTCCTTACAGCGCCGTTACAATGGATGATGAGGTCCTTCAATTGGGACGAGAGGTGCAACTGCAATGATGAAAAATTCTTGTCAAACTTTCGCTTTCTTCGACGACGGCGTAAATTATTTCAAGTGTATAAATAGAATGAGAACCCAGTTCACGAAGAAACTATGGTGCGAAGGCAAATAAATCGAACTGGATGGTTCTCTGGATATAGAGATTACTTCGCATTAGCAGTTAACCGTTAAATGATTATGAAGAATAACATGAAGGAGGAATTGAGCAGAAGGAGGACAGCAAGAGGAAAGGAACTACGTTTCATCTTAGCTCAGTAGTTACCGTAGCGCTCTGTTGTGCAGAAGATGCGATGCCTGATACTTTCGGCTAAATCAAGAGTGATTCGCACCAATCAGAAAGCGCTTGAACAACGTTTTCTAAAACATAGCGCACTCATACATCAATCCGGAATGCGAGGTGCAAAAGCAACACTGTAAAAAATGAAAATCCCTTTATTTTTTTATTTCTTTAAATGACCTGTCGTCATATACCGTGTGGATCTCAACATTTCGTTGGCTCCTATTAATCAACCACAAAATCCGCATTTGCATGTGGGGTCGGGCACCAGCTCAGGAATTTTCAGGAATGTCGCTGAATGCTGATGCGACTGTTTCTCCTTGGAATCTGACTGAGCTCACTTCAACCGGCTTCTATATATGCGGAATGGGATAGTTATTCTAAGACCTCACTTCATCGCTAGGAACGGTCATTAGCTTTTTGAGATAAAATGGTGTTCTTCCCAGAACGGAGAATGTTGAGCGATCTCCTTGCAATTCCCAGAACGAGGAAGGACATAGTCAGCACGGTGTCGAACCAGAAGCTGCACTCGCTGTGTTGCATGGCACGCTTAACCGGTGTGCTTCGTGCACCCAATGAAAGAAAAATAAGGGTTCCATATTATTTTAACTTTACGAACCTAATTTGACATTACTGTTTTCATACTATTTGTTAATATTGTATTTACTTGAAAGTGATGTTACTTATTTGGCAGCCACCAACCTACATGAACCTGTTCGCTGCAACTTTATCCTTGTGTTGTAGTTTTGCTGTACGCTGTTCTTCATCTCATTCTAACTGGTTTGTCTCTGTATGGTTTCTATTCCTCCAGACCTGCTTTTGTTCGTCCGTTTCTCCTGGATGTAGCCCTTAGTTTCGTGAGTTGAACTTTCTTATTTGTGATTTCAATTTTATTTTGCGGCCATTTCTGGGGCTCTTGAGTTGAAGGATACTTTTACTGACCATCCTTCCAATATGCCGAATACATCACTCCAGAATCGTCTTTTTTTACTTCTTTAATCAATTTTTAACACTTTTTTTGCCCTTGATACTCTCGAAGACGAAAGCCAAAACCTACCTTTACCCCAATTTATTTGATGAATCTTTTACCAATTTTATTAAAGTTTTATAAAGTTAATAAACAATGTTTTGCAGTTATTTCTTCTGGCTTTCATTTTCATATCAGCGTTTTTGTATTGGAGATTGGATATGAACGCTTCTCAAGAGGAGAGCGATATGAAGAAGGAGTGTTTAAGGTAAATTAAGTTGATTCCGATATGAATTCAACTGTTAGCCAAAAACAGTGCAGGAAGACAGTTCAGAAGTTCAAACAACAATACGACAAGATTATTTTGAATTCTTTTAATTTACTTTAAAGAACTAACTCTTCGTCTTCGATTTGCAATAGTTCCCCTGAGCAGGAGGAAAGAAGTGTGGTAGTATATGTAGTCTAACAGCTCTTCTAAAGGATAATTTTCTAAACTGTTGAGAAGCGTTACTGACCTAAATCTGTTCAATTACCAAATTTTTTTGACTTCGCTCGTAAATGAACTATCCACTTTTTTATCTCTATTTTATTTCATCCGTTTTCACGTCTACTCTACCGATCCCAGCACTTCTCACATTCGATTCGTTTCCCCGTATCATTTGTCCATGAAGATCTTCCAACTTTTCGCGTGGCTTCGGTTGCTGCTTGAGGATTTTCATTTCATCTTGAAAGTCGTAGAGTGCTGGTCAGGCTATTATCCCTGGAGTCTCGAGATAGCCGGGATGGAACATTCCCAATTGGATTGCAAAGAGTGATTTTTTCCCAGACAAGTCCGGCACCAATTTCCAGACCCCAAACGGATAACAGGCTTGGTTGGCTCGGTGCGGAATCGAACTAGCACTATGCTCGCGATGGTTGAATTACTTTTTATGGGAAAATTTATCTCACCTTCTTGATTTGCTTACTATTCCTACTTCTCATGAATTTTTTACATAGCTGCAAGTGTAGTGTATATAATGAATCGAAAAAAGTAGTGGCTAGAAAAAATTCTGAGTTGACCCAAAATAATTTCGTCCAAAAGAATAAAGTGCTTTCTGAAATCTTGCGCAAATGATCCACTTATATCATCCTTATCATTTTCCTCCCAGTGGTATGTCGTGAACTTAAGCGAATGCCACTAGAGCCTTTACTTGTCCTTTTCCGGCGCTAGAATTGACAAGTGTGACTTGTCTGCTCGAAAAACAACAAAAATACATTATACTTTGCCTTCATGGCTTTCGTTAACAAATATTGCCAGTATATCCATTGTCGTTCGATTGTTTCTTTGCCATAACTTGCAGAACAGCCCACAATCATTCCTATCCAGCGGTCACTATTGAAAAGTGTAACCATTGTCACCGTCCGGTTGATCTTCATAGCTTGTACGGCGGAGTCTTGCTCGATCTTACAGTTTCAAATATCCCTCTTCTACCTGGTTGAGTGACACTCTGAAAATTTTGCCTCCCTTCTTGTATATTTCGATAATCGTTGTTTTCTTCTTTCTTTTAAAGTGATGAAGAACTTCTGCAACTTCCTACCTAAGTGTTGGGCCACACTTTCTTTGTAGACTTGACTTAAAAGACCAGGTAGGCAACCGGTGTGTACTTTACCCGTTCTATAATATGACGTAGCATGGAAATGGTGAGAAATTCAAGAGAAGCAGTAATCGACTCGAACACTTTAAAGATTTAATGTTTGTTCTTCACGACCTTCGTAAAAACGTTTTCGAAATCGAAAAAGTTACAAAGAAGATACAAATCTTTTCCAGAGCGTCTTCATTTGGTTTGGTATAGAAATTTCGTATTTCAGTGAACCTAACTGTCTTTAAATGTTTGTTGTACCATAAAGAACTCATGGACAACTTACTGCTCTCTACAGTAGATGGATACGATCCTTTAAATGAGAATCCATCGTCTATTCAACTCGTGCGGTTACAATCAAAGAATTCACAGTAGTTCAAAATTCCTAGCAAAATAAAAAGTCGTATACTATTTTTAGAAACGTCTATATTGGAGCGGCATTTGTTTTCTCCTATCTACTGTGGTTAATAGTTTCAATAGCGGCCTACAAAGACACTAAGAAGCTGTACACTGAATTTACGTCTTGGACAGCCGAATATGAAAACAGTATGCGTTCCAAAGCAAACGTCTCCGAGCACAGGTGAGAAAAGTTCTCAATAGGGAACCGAAAAGTACTCCAAAATTATACACCTTTTTGAGTTCATGTAATACATACGTGATAGAAGCATAAATGGTACTCACTTCTCTTGTTTGAGACGCTGCAAACTGAAATAATACCAAATCGTCTCCTACACTATTTAGTAGGAAAATTTGGAGATGTGCATCAAACTGATGAGGTTTCGAATCTAATGCTTGTTGTTTCACTTTCGACAACATTTCTCAACTGTGAAGAATAACTTCCGTTCACATATCTTAATCATGATATCCATGGTATGCGATATACATCGCTATTGATTGGTCCAGGCCGTGAGGCCCTGTGGTCTACATCTCTCCCGCAACTATTGGCTTGAAAAGCAACCCCAAAATTGAGAAGCTTTGAGACAATGAGCTGTCTTTCTTTCCAGATCAGGATATTCATCGAGAGTGTCTACAGCTAGTTAGAAGTCGAACAAAAGTGCAAAAATTGATCAAACTTCAATAATTTCGACCAGTTCAGATTTGATGTTGACTAAAAATTCTGCTGTTAACTTAAGACTATCAGTACCTCTATAATCGTTGGATTCGTAGAAAGGAATTGGCAAACATAACCACAACGTTGCTTTATGGGAAGCTAATGAATGAAGAATTTTGCCCACTTCTTTTATTGCTTCGGACATTTTAATAAAGTGTTTGTGATTGTCGCGTGTATATAACAATAAACCTTTAAAAGGAACTTCGGAAAAGAGAATCAGTTTAATAAAGAGTGTGTGCACCAAAATAAATGTACATATCGGAGTGTAGTTTTGAAGTACATCCCTTTTATGCAATATTTTTCTCAGGGATAAGACTGTAAGAAGTACATAGATTATGGATAGATAGATATAGCAGAGTTCGAGCTACATGGACGTAGGTGGGCGATCACGATCCCAAGAAAAAGAAACTGCTGGCGGAAATGTACCCAGTTCTTCCACCACCTTTTAACGTCCACTTAGTATAAAAATAATGACCGTTCCCAAGTTTGAATCTACATATGTGAATTCGCAATGAACTTTGCTAGTTGAAGTAAAAACTATGGGAATTTCAGATCGTTGAAAACAAAGTGCAAGTTTTGCAATCTTGCTAGAATGAATTTCTGATTTTAAGGAGCACAGGAACCTTCTTTTTGTTCAAATTTCGTCTTATTTTCCAAGCATGAAAGCAAATGAATAGAACGCATTCTTCACGCAGAACGTGTTCATGTCCCCGAATGTGTGGTGGATGTCTGCGCTGGCCGGACTTGAGCTACGAGTACTGAAAACTCATAGTTTTCTTCCTGAGGATTTTGGTTGTAATTGAGATTAAAATTAGAGGAGCCCTTCATAAAAGTTACATACTCGATCAAGGCGACATGTTTCAGTTTTTCGAATACTCTGTTGATTAAGAAATTATGATCATAAGGAGCGGAGAATCAGCATCATGAGTTTTCTGAACGCCTACAAATCGAAGTAATGTAGAAGACTTATGCTTTAGCACATTACTACCACAGAAAGCCTGGCATGCAACCATTCAGTGGTAAATTTCAATTTCAACTAATTGAAGTTCTAATCCTTAGCTCAGCCTATTTTATGTTGTGATATTCTTGAAATAATTGATGTCCTCAAATGTCCTCAACATTTTTACTTGCTCTTTTTGAGCTTGATGGCTGGTAGGCTGAAAACTAGCTGAGAGACAGGAGACACGTAGGACTCGCGTGGTGTGATGGCGAACGCGTTCATCCTCGGAGAGGGTAACAGTGTGTTCGAGCCCCACCTCAGAAACCTACGGTCTGCAGTTTTGCAGATAACCCTATTGTTCCTCTAATTTTTCATGGTAAACCTTCAAAATACGTTTTTCGATTAATAAACTGTTGCTCAGCATGTGCTAGGAAAAAACTCAGGAGCATCTTCTAAACCTCTGCCGGATGCTCAATGTCCCTACAATGGCTAATTTTTAAAGACAAGTTTGAGGTGCTATAACTGAACTAGCTCAAAAATTTTATCACCCAGTATAAAGACATTGAAATCAAAACATTCTTGCCAACTATACAAGTGTTTACGTTTCTATTACCATGAGTCCTGAAGTCTAAATGCCACGAATTGTTCAGAAGCACTTTAGCAGCATATTTGCTGTTAACTTTCAAGGATTTAATCGTCGAATTGTTGGGAAAAATTAAAACTTCTGAACGAGATGACAGCTGCCTATGCTGAGTGTAGTAGGGCATCATAGAACAACGATTCAAACCCTTGCAGCTATAGTTGAGTAATATGTAGTTGCCATAGTCGTGCAGAATGGCCTTTTCTCACCGATCAAAGTTAGGTAAACACGCTGTAGTTTGAATAGGACTTCAGAGAATTCGTAGTAGAGTTCTCTACTGCGACCGTTTAACCACGATTAAGAATGTTGTATTCAGCGATTCCTTCTGTCGAAAACGAAGAAGTCTTCATAACCACTTTTTGATGTATATTAGCATTTTCAGATTGTTCAGCTTTATCTCGGTTCAATCACCAAGATGAAGGTAATCGATCGCAGTTTGCGACCCGTTTCTCATGAATTATTACAACCCAACCGGGGAAGTTGCCCATTTTATTCCCTTTATTTTATGAGATCCCACATCACATGTTGTACGGAACCCAGTACTTCTTTCGTGAGAGTCATCTCATAGCATCAGTCATCCACGGAGGTCCTGGAACCTTCGGTGTAGGTCCACTTGCTCCTTAAGAACTTCAGTCTTCTTTATGAACGCTGTTGAATGCTTGTTGAGTGAGTTCTCTCTGGAACCCATAGATGGCAGTGCTAGTGCATTCCTACGTGAATTGGAGGGTGTGAACTCAGTGCAGGCGTCCTGTACCAATGTTCCAACCGCGGAAAGATGAAGATTCGGTGGGCCTGCGTAGGGGCGAACGAGCGCTTTGCTCATAATGAACTGCATCACTAAGTACCACCCAACTACCGTCTTTCAAATAACGAGCGATTGTTGAGTCGTTTCTTTTTCTAGATGCCCATACTCTCGGGTAATGCGAATGCTAGCACATCTTCCATTCATTTCTTTGCCACGCGATTGTCGTCTATTGTGGTTTGCCTCGAGTATGGCAGCGTGGGATCGCACCATTCCGTAATTTATTAAGCATTTTCGGCCGCGATTACAGCAAATTGACGTTAGTTATGAACGCGCCGGCCCATCGTGTGCTTGCTTATCGCAGAGGACATTTCCACTTTCTTGGCATCGATTCCATCGTTTGTTTCATGCATTTGTCGTCTATTCTTATACAACCGATCGATCTGTGTTACGATATCGTTACATATTCCCCTGCATTTCGAAGATCTGGGCTGGCTCAGTTTTCCATGCGGTTGAAGAACTGATCTATCTCTTCCGCACAGTAAGGCGATGGAAGGACAATTAAATCGAAGAGGTGAACGTGGAGTTTCGTGTGCGTCACTTAGCCCATGGGTCCTCTCATAGACCTATCCTGCTCTCGTTCTGTGTAGCGTTGTTGTTAAAATGTTCACTGAACGCCCAGAGGACATGTACGATGTGGTCTCTGTGATAGGAAAACCATCCAACTCGATTTGTTCATTTTCGCACTATGCGTTCTTCATTTATCTTATTTGTGTGCAGTGATCCTTCTCCTCGCTTCGTTGAGTACATTGAGCATAGTCTGTGCTTCATGGCCACTTCTCCAAAGGATGATGATGTCGTAAACAAAGCGAAAACTTGGTAGAAATTTGCCAACAATGCATAGGATGCTGAGCTACAATACACAACTTGGCTAACTGGCGTCACTTTGCTGAACACTTTTCCCTATAGGGTTGGTGAGGCGTGTCGTTTAAAAAGCCGTTTTTGTGGTGCAATTACGATAACGCTTAGAAATCTTATGTGGAGCGGCTACATTCCTTGATTCACGAGTGTTGATAGGATTGCATCGGTTTCAAAGCTATCGAACACCTTTTCATAGTTGAAAAATGTCAGAACAAGTGGCAGTTTGAATGCTCAGCAACCGCTCAAAGATCCAATTATTGATTCCAGATGGTCGTCATCAAATAATGCCAGTGTTTCACGACGTTCTCAGCCATGACGATCCATATCTCTCAAGCAATACCTTACATACTGTCTCCACATTTTCAGTTCTGAAAACTTTTTCTGGCCCATGCTCTTAAGACATTTCGACATGCTACTGTTGTTTTATTTGGAAATAAATACTCATCAAGCAAAACAGTGTAGTTTTCTTAAACTAAAGTATCATTTCTCCGATCCAAAAATCGTTGTGAATTAATTTTTTGCAAAATATATCATATGGAAAGCAATCAAACACTGCCAGGGCACACCGCATTTTGGCGATAGGTAGCCCAAGTTGGTGCGTTAGCAACAACTGATATTCAGTTGCTTGGGTGTCTTACTAATTGAACCGCGTAATATAAAAATCCTCATCGACGAGACGGCATATCGATTCCGGAAAAAAGCAATGACGAAGATAGCCATCCTTTGTAGGAGTTCAGAAGCGTCTTCTAGCTACAAGAGAGCAGTCGTGGACGGTATGTCCCTTTCTATGTGCAACGATTTCCGGCACATCAGGGAATGTTCTTGTTGATTCTGCCACTGGTGAAATTCTGAAGTCGATTATTGTGGTAGATTGAACCTATATCTTCCTCCAATATCACTGCTCTTCTTCCATTAGGATTACCGTCTATCATTTTTCCTAAGAGCCGCCGATCGCACTCTTTACATATGTAATCTGCATCGAAATTTTTTCCCATGCCAACCAAAAGGATGAAAATCTCAACAAATAATGATCTTCATATCGCAACTGACAATTAAAATAACGTAACTGCCATTCCAGCCAAGGAGATTGTGGTGATGCTTGTCCACATTCTGTGAACAATTTCTGTTGTAGCTCCCAGGATCGACTTTCTCTTAACCTCGGCATTGGAATATGACTGTGTCGTTTTCTTGTTCAGCAATCACGAGGTTTTTAAAAAGCATACATTTACTTCCATAAAAACACAATACAATACAACGCTTGCTGACGTTTCGGCAGCATCGCCTTCTTCAGAGCCTGGAAGGGTATACTGATATACAATCTACTAGGCCAAACGCTTCAATAACACTTACAAAAAAACGAAAGACTCTTTGGTAACTACACGATCAACAACGTTTCCAAAAAACCCACCGCTTTTTCGTGACTTCCAATGAGGAAGTTCTGTTGTCTTTTCTTCCACGAACACGGAAGTTTTGTAGGGTATACGCCGTGATTAAATAAGATCTGTGTAATAGCACTCCACTTCAACATTTACCGATGCACGACATTTCGCTAGCTGCTCCGATGGTTATCGCTTTGGTGAATGGAAGAAAACGTTTCGTAAGATGAGAGTCTTTTATCATTGTAGGATGCATTAGGATATGATTTTTCACAGCTATGCACTAATGAATACGAATTGGTGATTCACTGCCGACAAAATGAGTAGAAGGGGAAAATATTAACGGATAAAGCGCTCGGCGTCGATCAATGTCTGCGTGATGAACCATGCATTGGACTTCACCAAACGTGGAGGTGACTGAA